CATCGTTAGGCGACCCACTTCGACTGTCTCCCCCTCAATACGCACTGATGCATCCACATTCATCTCCTCCAAGTGCGGGGCCTCAGAGTCCATCCTCGTGCTCTCTCTAACATGCACTATGGTCGTCTCTTAAAGAATGAAGTCTCCCTCTTTTAAGTCAATGGCTATTGGTACTTCCCCTCCCGCATCTACGACTCTCCTCTTACGGGGCATTAGACCCCCATCATCAAGGGTGACATTGTCGTCCTCATCAACCAGTGAAAAGAGTTGAGGATTAGAAGTAGCAAACAGAATAGAGACATGCTCTTAGACTGCGGTAGCCAAGGCAGGGGCAGGTACATAAGTTGTAGTAGTCAAAACAGAGGCAAAAGTTGAAGGTACAACAACCTTCCTCCGAAAAGAGGGCACTGGTGCCCGGCTCCTACGAGAAGACCCCCTGCCTCGGAAAGAGAGAAACGTTAAAGTTAGTAGAATGCATCGACAATACAACAAAAGTGAAACGACCACGGCCAAAGAGAAGAGGTTACCTGTTGAAGGAAGAGCCAGTTTGAACTTCTTGAAGAAGCTCGGCCAGTTGCGGTTTCCTACGACATGGGGGAGGACTTGCTCGACATAATTGGAAATGCGCATGACTAAAATGGGAGGCTGGTTGTTATCTGCAAGAAAAGAAAAATCCTTCAACTAACTCCGAGCAAGTAAAATAATAAAGATAGAAACTGGGCACTTACGTGTGTAGTTCCAAGCCTCAGGAAAGCCATCGACGTTAGCCACAATGTCCCTAGTTCTAACGTTGAAGAAGTTGAGCCCGAACTGACTATTGGCCTTGTCGACCGTCTTCACCACCAAGAATTTGCCTCCACGGTGGTGAGGTTCATCATCGTTCCCTATAGAAGCTATGGACAAATAGATGCACCAAATGTGGCATCAGTTTGACCCCGACCAACTCGAAAAATTTATTCAGCATTCTGATAATCATGTTGACTTATGGTGCAAGCTGTGTAGGGCTGATGCCATAGTGATGACAAAATTCTTCCATCAACGGAAGAATGGGGAACGAATAATCGATGAGGAAGGGATAATGATATAGAGAATAGTATCTAGGGCAATGAACCGGCACCACGTCCCCTTCGGCCGGGATCAATTTGACATGCTTTGGAATACCGAACTTTGCTTTGAATTTCGCCAATTCTTTGGAAGCCATCGTCGATAGAAACTTCCCTAGTGCAGCGTTCGATGATCGGGTAAGATCAGACCTAATGTCGGGGTTATGGGGGGTTATCTCCTCCACCGACGGGAAATCTTCATCCTCGGCAATGGCAGAAACACTCTCCCAATGGGAGGGAAACACAACTTCCAAGGGAGCAACGCGACTCCCTTCACCAGCATCTAAGAGCAAGTTTGACATGATTTAAGGTGATGAAGAAGAATATAAAAGGGAGAGATTGGGGGATGATGTAGGGCAACAAAACAGGGAAAGGAGGTTTAGAGAAAAAAGATGCAGGAAAGAAGGCTGATGTCTAGAAAAGATAGAAGAACAAAATTTCAAATTCAAGTCCAAAAACCTCTATTTATAGAAATCATGGCACTAAACCCGAAAATGACTCGTCATAATTGGCATCGGAATCGAAACGGTAAATCCAATCAAGGGTCATGCACGAATTGAAGCAACACATCGAGAACATGCGTCCTAATAAACATGATGTCATGACGTGACTCTAACCCTTGGACAAGATAACTCTAACAAATTACCCGGGAAACCTGAAGAGTTTGAAATATGCTGCCCACAGAGAGCCACGTTGTTTGTTCGCCATGACGACTACGACTCTTGTGGCCAACTCGATAAGTTCGACCACAAATGACATTATCCGCTCATTGAACTCACATGCGAGGATGACTTCAATAAGCGGAGGGATGACGAGCGCAAAACACAACACAAAATTAATGATCGCTAGTCAAAGATAGTATAGTTTAATTATCGTCTCCACATGGATTGGATTTAAATAATGTTCGAGTAATGGTTTAAATGCTATTCAAGAGGATAAACACGTGAGTAAATGATTATGAACTACATTTAACTACTAAAATAAAGCAATTAACAATTGACTGCAAAGAACTAAGGATTAGCAGAGTCAGATTCTTATCAATGTGAAGAATAAGGGTGCTGACATGGTAGGTGCAAGGTTGTTATTCTGGATATAATATTGTTATATTTCATTCTTGAGTTTCTATTGATTCTCACGAATTCAATAGGTGATTAGCTTATGCTTCCGATTCAGACTCCTCTCTCGATTAAATCTAAATCTTTCAAATAAACTAATGTGAAGTGCGGTGAAACTTGCAAGAATCTATTGGTAAGAATGGTCTAAGAGAAACTTCTCTCGATCATTTCTCAATCTCAATTTAAGAGGTAGATCACAAAGCTCTTTCGATTATTTTAAAGAAGTACCAAAATAAATTAAGGCATGCATTGTAACGATGTTCAATATTATGCTCCTCTTTCGATTAAACAAGATAATGAATAAAATCACAAATTTAGTTAAATCTCTTCCAATAGATTCAAGCAATTAAGAAGTAATCAAATACATAAACAATAACCAAGTCACCAAGGCATGTCAAATCCTAAGGTAAACTACTCCATAATTATGGAGGAAGTCATCACAATAAGAGTTAAAGAATAAGAAAGCATCAATCTAGCATTACAATCTAAACACCCGTATTGAATTGATGGAAAGATGATGGAATCTCGTGTCTCGTTGCCTTCAATGCTTTCCCAAAGCTTCCAAGTTTCAAAGTCCTCTAAAATTCATGTTTTTGGTATATTTATACCATATTGGAACGGGCCCGGACGAAACTACCATTTTCAGGCCGAATTGGGACAATTGGATCGCGAAAATATACTAGCGCGCCACCCATGCGCCACATTAGTGAGGATTTTCACTTTTTAGAGAGTTGATTTTTTCACTGTGCAGGAATTTTGCACTAGTGCCCCGCTACGCATGGCGCGAGGCGGTAGTGCAATTTTCTTAGAGTAATTTTGTTTTTTCACTTTTTGAAATCTGGACTTGGTCCTCGACTCCCGAATGTGATCCCGACTTAATTTCTTGAGCTTTTACTCAGACTTCTAAGCTCCAACTTGTTCAAATTAGCTCCAAATTATCTTAATAGATCGTAATTACTTCATGCAAGGCATAAAACACATAATAAGTACAATACACTAACATTTAAGCTCAAACACAAGTAAAATACAGTAATTGGAGTGCAAATTATGACTAAAATACGGGATTCTAGCCTACCATCAACGTCCCACACATAGACCATTGCCCGTCCTCGAGCAATCAAACTGCACTTCACATAGAGACGACCTTCTTATCAGATAACTTCCCTAACACATCATGCCAAGAATATTTAAAGCAGACTAGGCACCCTATCATAACATCCTAGCTTCAAGACTCGACTCAAAAGCACCACGCATTTTTCACAACCTGCTCACTTACTCTAACATAGAGGTCAAAGTCATTGCCTTTCCTTTGCAAGTCATGTGCTCTTACACAATCAATAGAGAGTAGTTCCATATATAATAAAGTTTAAGAACAATTAGGAACTAAAGATAAAAAGAATTCACTCACTGTTAGAATCAAAACTCATGTGCCACAGAAGACGTGCCATAAGCTTGCCCATAGTGTAATACTCTACTAATTGAGCTCAGTCAGTCAAAGATCAAGTAGGACTTAATTTGGTTGTAATGTAGGCTGCGGGACGGGTAGGATACATTTGAATATAGTGACTCCACCCCCACTGAGCACTTAAATACATATACATTAACAATTCAAACTCCACACTTATATTGAACCAAACCCCAACCTTCATTCATAATAGCATCGAGCTCCTAATATCTTTAAGCACAAACAAGATGATAACTACCAATGGAATAAATTTTTTTCTTTCTTTTTAATCAAACTCTTTTTCCTTTTCAATTCTCTACATATGGCTCTCATTAGTTTTCAAACAGTGCATCTTTCTCCCTTTTCTATAGTTCCACTCAAAAACCTGACCATACCTCACTTAGCTTTTACAAGCTCATACAAATTCAAATGCTCACGAGAGGTAAAAGGTTCAAATAGATAGACAATTCAAATAAAAAGGGTTAGGCTTGTAGTGTGGTTGCCAAAGAAATAGGATTTACACGCTCAACGGAGCTAACTAAGATACATCATAATTAGGTGGGTAAACACATATATCTGGCTCAATAAAGAAATGCCTATATCTTCCTAGACTGAACAAGACTACTATTTCACTTTGCAAACACACGGGGCAAGTTCTAGATATCAACTGACATACACAGAATATCACAAAACCTCACACACGCACATTGGCACATAACTCACTTAGGATCAGATCGATCTCATCTCTCTAGTCAAAGCAGTTAAGCAAAGTCATAATTAACTAATTTAAGGCACTTATCCATGAATCAAGAACTGAGCCTAGGTATCACAACTGAGGCACTCACTACTCTCAAGGCACAACAACATTAAGAAAATTCATCTCCATTTAATACATAGTACGAGACTTCACTATTCCTAATAAAAGAAAAACTAACTACATTAGGTTCAAATAAAATCCTTGGAAAAGAACCGCGACACAAAGAAAAACCAAGATGGAATTGTTACACTACCTAAGAAAATAAAATATCTTTTCTACGACTTTTATCCCTTAAGAATACAGTCGAGGAAATCAATCGTCGGGAAAAGTCAAATTTTTATTCAAAAGAAACGAGTGCAAACACATATATACATATATACATTCCCCATCCCACACTTTAAATTGTGACATGTCCCCATTACACACAAATAAAAAGCAAGAGGTAAATGAAACTTCCCTGATTCATCTAGTCGGGGTTTGAATCGAAGTCGAGATCTCCTTTACACACCCGACCCAGTGCATACATCCACACAGAGAGCTTCTTTTCTGTCTTCTTTGGGTATACCCCACACTTATCAGCTTCACTCTTTCCGATTTGCTCTTTCAGACCCCCCTTCTCCTTCCATTTTGAAGATCAACCTTTCATCCCCCACTCTGAGCATGAGCTGCCTTTCTTGAATATCTATAATTGCTCTGCCCGTAGCCAAGAATGGTCTTTCTAAAATCATAAGGACCTTCCTATTTTCCTCTATGTTCACCACAATGAATTCCACATTGAACACAAATTTATCTACCCGAACCAGCACATCTTCAATGATTCTGTTAGGTATGATTGTGGTCTGATCCGCCAGCTGCAAAGAAACAGGTATCGACCTAATTTCTCCAATATCACCCTCTAATTTCCTGTAAATAGACAAAGGAATAAGATTAATAGAAGTACCTGAATCACACAAAGATTTTTTAAATTTAGTACTTCCTAAAGAGCAAGGTATAATAAACTCCCTGGATCTCCACAACTTTTAGGGAGCTTATTTTGCAAGATTGCACTACAATGCTCTGTCAGCTTGACAACCGATGTCTCTTCCACTTTCCGCTTCTTGGACAATATCTCCTTCATGAATTTAGCATAAGCTGGCATCTGTGAAAGCAATTCTGTGAAAGGTATATTCACATGCACCTGATTGAACACTTCTAGAAAGTGCTCAAATTGTTTGTCTAACTTTTCTCTTCTTTGTTTCTGGGGGAACGGTAGAGCTGGCATGTATTTGCTCTCTTTAGTCTCATTATTTATTGAATTATCTTTTTTTTCTTTTTCTGAGCTCTAATCTTCCCCTTCCTCTTCAAATCCCCATCTACCATCACTTTTCCTTCTTGAATATTGTTATTTTTCTGCTGGTCCACAATCTGCACTTGTCTCTCAATCGGCTCATACTTTTGCTTTGCTATGGGATCCTCCAACTTGTACCCACTCCTCAAAAACACTGCATTGATTGTCTCTTTTGGATTTCTTTCTGTATCAGCAAGGAGAGTTCCTGAAACCCTCTCAGACAATAGAGTAGCTAGTTGCCCAACTTGTCTTTCTAGGTTTTGAAAAGATGTGCCTAGTTCTTTGATAGTTGCACCATGGGTGTCAAGTCTCTCACCTGTCTTGATAATGAAGGCCTTCATTAGATTTTTCATGCTAGACTGATTAGACTGTGGAGGCTGATATTGCTGCCTTAGCTGATTTTGAAAGCCCTGAGCTCCATGTCCCTGGGGTGTAGAGTTACTTTGCTGCCATGAGTTCAGGCTACCACTTGGTGAATTCCAAGAAAGGCCTGGGTGCCTCTGTCCCATAGGATTGAAATTATTACCACTCTAATAGTTGCCTATATCAAAGCTTCCCACAACATTTACCACTTTATCTGCAGCTAAGGCCTGATATTCATTCGTTGGATGACCCATTCCACAGAAATCACAAACTAGTGATGGTTGGCTTTGGACCTTGGCTAAGGTCAAATTTCTTATCTCTTTGGCCATGGCGTCTAGTTAGGATTGCATTGTAGTGTAAGAGTCCACTTGATGAACCCCAAGTGATTTTCTTCTATCATTACTCTCAGCAAGCCACTGGTTAGCATCTTCAGAGAGCTCATCAAGAATTGTCATAATCTCCTCAGGAGTCTTCTTCATTAAAGGACCTCCGACTGCAATGTTCAGTGTTCGTCGTGGAGGGGTGTCAATCCATCCCAAAAGTCCTGGAGATGCATCCACAATTCAGTCCCATTATGCTGACACTTCCTCACTATCTCCTTGAATCTTTACCAAGCCTCAAAAATTATTTCGGTGTTCGTGTAGCAGATGTTGTGAATTTCCCTTCTGAACTTCACTGTTTTTGCAGCCGAGAAAGTATTTGTCAAGAAACTTTCTAGTCATATCTTCCCATGTCCTGATCGACCCCGTTGGTAAGCTACGAAGCCATTGCTTCGCATCATCCTTCAGTGAAAAAGGGAATGCCCTTAAGTATACTACATCTTGTGACACACCGTTGTACTAGAAGGTGTTCATGATTTCCTCAAAATCCATCAAGTGAATGTTAGGATCTCCATTCACCTTTCCTCTGAAGACACTGTTGTTCTAGATAGTTTGAAGTAAGCCTTGCTTCAACTCGAAATTATTCGCTGCTACTGGTGGAGGTCTGACACTGGACAACTCCTGATTGTAGACTGGTCTGGCATAATCACCCAATGCTCTACTAGGCCTAGGTACCGCATTCTCGAACTGATCTTCAATCAAGGGTCGACTTAGATTGGATCTTCGACCCCCATCATCATTGATGATCTCATCAACATCTCTACGGGCTGCCTCAGCTGCTATCCTTGCAGTTTCTTCTCTATGTTGTGCTACTTCTCTTGCAGCTAAATTTACCTCATCTTCACCGTTATTAGCCATGTGTTCTTGGGTTGAAGGTTTCCCCAAGAACTTTTCGGTGAGTTCTTTCTCTTTCCTCAACTGTCACATACTCTTTTCTACCTCTGGATTATATGGAATCAATTCCTTTGAATAAGATCAAGTTATACACTAGAGACGTCAATCTGTTTCCTGCACACGAAAGAGGAAACCCGTGAAGAATAAAAAAGAAAAAAAGAATAGAATAAAATAAATTCCTGAATTAGAACCAAAAACTAATTTGAACACTATTGATTGTCAATCCCCGGCAATGGCGTCAAAATTTGACGAGCGCAAAACAGAACAAGAAATTAATGCTCGCTAGTCAAGGATAGTATAGTTTAATTATCTTCTCCATAGGGATTGAATTTAAACAGTGTTCAAGTAATTTCTAGTTTAAATGCTATTCAGGAGGATCAATACTTGAGTAAATGATTATGAACTACGTTTAACTACTAAAATAAAGTAATTGACAATTGACTGCAAAGAACTAGGGATTAGCAGAGTGAGTTTCTTATCAATGTGAGGAATAAGGGTGTTGACATGATAGGTGCAAGGTTGTTATTTTGGATATGATAGTGTTATAATCACTTTTGAGGTTCTATTGATTCTTACGAATTCAATAGGTGATTAGCTTATGCTTCCGATTCAGACTCCTCTCTCGATTAAATCTAAATCTTTCAAATAAACTAATGTGAAGTGCGGTGAAACTTGCAAGAACCTATTGGTAAGAATGGTCTAAGAGAAACTTCGCTCGAATATTTCTCAATCTCAATTTAAGAGGTAGATCACAAAGCTCTTTCGATTACTTTAAAGAAGTACCAAAATAAATTAAGGCATGCGTTGCAACGATGTTCAATATTATGCTCCTCTTTCGATTAAACAAGATAATGAATAAAATCATAAATAGAGTTAAAGCTCTTCCAATAGATTCAAGCAATTAAGAAGTAATCAAATTCATAAACAATAACCAAGTCACCAAATCATGTCAAACCCTAAGGTAAACTACTCCATAAATATGGAGGAAGTCATCACAATAAGAGTTAAAGAATAAGAAAGCATCAATCTAGCATTACAATCTAAACTCCCGTATTGAATTGATGGAAAGATGATGAAATCTCGTGTCTTGTAGCCTCCAATGCTCTTCCAAAGCTTCTAAGGTCCAAAGTCCTCTAAAATTCATGTTTTTGATATATTTATACCATGTAGGAATGGGTCCGGATGAAACTACCTTTTTCAAGCCGAATTGGGACAATTGGACCACGAAAATATACTGCGCGGCGCGCCATGCGCCACATTAGCGAGGATTTTCACTTTTCAGAGAGTTGATTTTTTCACTCTGCAGGAATTTTGCACTAGCGTCCCGCTACGCATGGCGCGGGGCGGTAGTGTAATTTTCTCAGAGTAATTTTATTTTCTCACTTTTTGAAATCCAGACTTGATCCTCGACCCCCGAACGTGATCCCGATTTAATTTTTGAGATTTTACTTAGATTTCAAAGCTCCAACTTGTCCAAATTAGCTCTAAATTTTCTTAATAGCTCGGAATCACTTCCTGCAAGGCATAAAACACATAATAAATACAATACACTAACATTTAAGCTCAAACACAAGTAAAATACAGTAATTAGAGTGCAAACTATTACTAAAATACTGGATTCTAGCCTACCATCAAGGGACTAACTGTATGGGTCAAAAATTACCTTTGACATGATCAAACCATGTTAACATTAAGGAGGCACTCACAGACCGCCACGTGTCGCCAGTACGACTTTGACAAAGGCTTGCCCGCGGTCGAAGCGATCTCTTAAGAAGTGAATGGCAGGGCCGATGAAGCTATTGAAGACCAAGGTCGAACAGTCAATAAAGATCAGGGTTGAGGTCGAGCACTCACCGTAAATAGAGTGAATAACTACTAGTTTTAGGATAAAACATCAAAGGAGAATATTCTAGTGGATATTCTCTGTACCTGTACTATTAGGGTATTCTAGGTATATGTTCCCTATAAATAGAAAGAGACATAAGGATTGGGGGAAGAAGATATTCACTTATAAGAAAATACATTGACTTGATAGAGAGAATCTGGCTTTATCGCAAGCACACGAGAATAACTTTTTACTAAGATTCTTGTATAATTTTTCCACTTGATCCAAGAACAACCCGAATATTCGAAAGCTCATCAATCATTCATCATTATCAGATAGAATATCCACAGATCTTACCCTTTTTTGAGTGACTCGCATATTTTTATTTTACTTAAATGTCATTCATTACTATTTATTGTTATTTAATGCCATCCTCTTCCTTTTGAGTCATTGAATATTATTTGTGTTGTCCACATTTATTGCCATTCAGTCAAACATACATATTATCTACTACAAAATCAGTTAATATATCTTTTAGATATTAAAATTGGCTAAAATTGATCCTACTTTATTTAAATCTAATTAGTTGAACCCGGGTCTAAATTTTGAATCAAACATCCAGCACGACTCATAGTAAGTGCAAAACGTAAGTAATTCTTGAAATGGTATAGAACTGGTTGTGTAATTAAGAGTTAATTTCTTCTGTCTTCTCGAGGAAGGGAGCTAGCTGTTTTTATCATTTTTCATCACTTGTTCTATTCCAATAATGATGTTACATGAACCAAGCTAGGACTCTGTCGTTTTGGGAATTTTACATTAATGACATACGAAGAAGCATATACATCACTCTTTTTCAAGAATTGACCAGCCATTTTGACATCTTATTTAGTAAGTTAACTAAGGTAGAAAATTCTTTTACATGTATTATCCATTCGAAGCATGTTTGGTATCCTTGCCTTGGTTTTGGGATTCTTTTTTATTTTCTGATAATATATGAAACAAAATCAAAGAGAATTGAAGCATTCTGCCCAGAGAAGTTTACTACTTAGATAATTTGAGACCCTTTATTTTTCTCTAACATTATAAACTGCGCTTTGTCCAATTATAAGTGGTCTACAATTAGAACACATGCATTAAAGGCGCATTTTATTTTTTGGTCCAACTTATATACATTCTTTAACCAAAAACTATGATCTCTGTTGAGTTATATAATAATGTCCCACACTATTTTGGATCGGATATAATTCAGATCAACCCAATCTCACACTTTTTTTTATTGTTCCTAATGCAAGTTATTGTTCATTTTTTTCTTCTCAGAGAAAGGGGGAAAAAGCATCGAATGCCAAAACGCCAATGATGTTCTATAATCCTCATATGCCATTGCTAATATATTTCTATATAGTTACCATGCAAATAAACTCTTTGTCAAACCCCACAAATGCACGACAATGTCATGATGCTATGAAAAAACA